TGAGGGAAGATTTGATATGGAGACGCTGCCGAGGGCCCAATTCTTGAAATCCAGTCGGGGAAAAGCAGCGCCGGAGGGTAAATTGCGTGTTGGGACGTTGACAGAAATGGGACGCTTCCGATGCCAGGGTAGTATCCCGGTGGATTTTCTCTGGGTCAACTTGACGTTGCCATGTTGGAGACAACAAAGGCTCTTCCTCTCGGCCTTGATATCCATACTCTTTACGGAATAGGATACAGGAAAGCCTGGAAGTAGGGTGTTGTGTAAGAGGATGCAAAGCTTCCTTCGACTGCCCTACTTGCACCCTCGTAGTGCTGGTTTATTGGCTCGATGCAGCACCCTGCGGTCATGGTGGCTGCAATGAAGACACTCATCTGAAGTTGGCAGGTTTTGTGTGTTCGCATTAGCGGCGACGATCTTTTCGGTGATGCCCTCAGAGGGTTACAGGTAGCAGAAGTAGCGCGGCTGCCAGGCCGGCCTCGAAATCGTTCGTCGTGTTGCCCTGGCCGTCCAATGCACCAATTATCTGCCATGAATTTGCGCTCTGACGACAAAGCGAGTCGTGTCTGCGGGATCAACAGGCACGAGGCAGTGGAAAAGGTGACAGCCAGTGTTGAAGACGACGCTCGAGCCCTGTTGCATGCAAGCGAGAAAGGTTGCACAGGGTGCTGCTGTCAATATTTGACGGCGTTAAGTCCAAGCTTCCGTGATGGTGGAGAGAGCCGGGGTGAAGAGGCCGATCACAGCGGCATCATATCAAACTAGGTGCGGACTGGCACAATTCGTGCCTGGGTCAAGCTGCCCGAAGTGTGCCTGAATCCGGGGGTGCAACTCTCAACGTCTCTGAAAGGCTCGCCAGATGTCGTGCATGGCGTTGCTTCACGGCGAATAGAGTGCGTAATCTTTAAGAAAAGGCTTGTTCGGTGCCCAATACATGGCGACATGGTAGAAAAGAGCCATGATCCGACGTTAGGATTGGTACCAAAGACTCGTGAGGTCTGTCTTTGAGTTGAGGCTATCTCATGTCATGCGTCTCGCATCTTGTCAGGATCGACCTCTGGTGGGTGGCGTCGAGGCTGTTTGCGACGAGAGACAAGACGTAACGGCCGTGATGGGTTTGATAGATGGCAGGAGTGGCTGGTGGATGTCGCTCTCCCCCGCTGACAGATGATAAGCAAACCCGCTCGATGCTGACAAGGGAGGGCACTGTGTTACACAAAGAGACTCTGGCGACTGACGGAAGAGGGTCCGAAATCAGCCTCGAAGCGGCGGCGTGATTGGCCTTCGGAGGGTGTAGCATGGACGACGGCTCGAGAGCCAGAGAGAGATTGGGGGACCACTGAGGAGCTGGTATTGTGAAGATGGTTGGGTTTATCCTGTTTTCGTATTTAGGTGACGAAGATGGGGTGACGATGCGCGATGAAGGATCGGAAGGTCGTTTGGAGGGAATCGATCATATTGGCCCGGCAGTGGAATAAGAAACGAAACGGAACAAAATGATCAAAGAGGCAGCGAAAAGGGCATAGAGCGTGCAGCGGCAAGAAGCCAGTAGGTCTGGGCGAAAATGATAGAAATGTCGAGAAAATGACGGGAACAGAAAACGACTGTCAACTTATCAAGGAGTACCTTAGAGATGGCGGCGATGGTAAAGATACTCAGGTACGGATACTCCGTACCTGTTAATTACCTCAGCAGTCGAGCACTGAACCTCGAAAAAAATAGGTTCATCACCTGCAGATGCAGGAGGGAAGGAACGAAGGACCCTTGTTCCGTGCACTGGTGCTCTTTCCCTCTTGGTCCTCTTCCAACGTCCTTGCCCTCTGCCTCATTTCTCATACCTGGTAGGCACCTACCTCAGGTAAGGTAGGAACCGAGTGAAAAGTACATACGATGTTTACCTTCAATGTGCAGGTGCAGGTGCAGTGGGAGGAGGATCCGCCGGGAAAGATACCTTGAGCATTTGACGAACACAGGCATAGCAGGGACAAAAACCAGCAAAAAGAGGGCCATGCAGAGCTGGATGCTTCTGCCCTTGCATCGGCTCATGCGCTTCTCTTCCCTTTGAACAGTGCCCTTTGGGCGCCAATTGGCTGCTCGGTTTTGAGCATGGGGTAAAGTAAGAATTAAGGTAAAGTAGGGCAGTCAAGATATGCACCCTATCTTGCCCTCCTGCTTGGCGCTGCCTCTCACGATCGGTCCTGCCTTCGGGTTTGTTAATGGTGTTGCAGCTTGCTTGCTTGCTCCTGCCCTCTGAGAATCCGTAGCTCCTGGTTGACCTCGGGCTGTTTCCCTCGAATTGTATCAGAGCCGTAGCTAGGCCCAAAATGAACCCCCTCAAGAAACATATCCAGTCACAACGTCTGAGAACCCTGCACGATCCCTGCTAAGCCATGAGAAACCACCCCTGTTTCTTTGCTGCCATGTCCACCCACATCCGTAGGGAAAGAAGGAAGAAATTTTGACTGAGCAGTTGCGACTGAGAGCTCCTGCCCTTGCTCCAGAAAGCGCAAAGGTGCGCCCCACCCCACCATCCCACTTTCCAATTGCCTCTCCCGCCCGCGGACTCACCCCCGGTCTGCGCCTTTCCAGGGATGGCTACGCATGTGGCACCGGCTTGAGGTGAACTCCTCGGTACGTATCTTTTTTAGCTTCATCCAGCCGTCTAGCTTCTTCCCTACCCGTCTTCTCGCTGTCTCTCAGACTCTCAGTCTCTCGTCGTCTCTTACTCTCACTCTTTGCACTCTTCGTGTCTCGTCCACAAAAAAATCCAAGACATCCATCTCGAACTTCGCTCACAGTCCTCGCCTTTCTTCGCACTAATACGGCGGGACAATACGCCCTCGTCCTCTCGTTCCCTCGCTTTCACCCACTCCTACTGGCCACCACGTCCACTCTTGCTCCCACGCCCGCTAGAACCTCTCTCTACGGATACTTCACGTCAGAGACACACACACACATTTGGTCCTCGACAGTGTCAGAGACCACACAAGACCTTAGACAGCAGCCACACTTTCCTTCCCCGGCGTTGCTGCAGCTCGACATGGACATGGACCTGGATCTGGCCCTCGACCCAAATCTCTGACCCCGACGCTACCTCTACATCTGAGCGCACCCTCACCCTCTCACACTCGCCTTGAGAGGTATTCGACCCTCAAAAAGTACCTCAATCTTTTGGCCCGTCCCGTCGCCGCGTTTCAACCAGCCTCGACTGTCATATCTTAAAGCCTTCACTTCTCCGGTCCCTTTCTTCATGCCCGTGTCCCTACTTAGTCCTCAGTACCGTACTTAACCCTCGGTCTTGTGCTGATCTTCGGTCGATTCTTCATTTTTCATCATAAGCATCCTTTTAACTTAATTCTCGGCTCGGTCCTATCGTATTCACCCTCACCTCACACTCACATGTGCCATTGGCTCCAGCTTCAACCTTCAGGTTGAGCTACCTTCCTTACCTTTACCCCTTGCCTACAGCTTCATCCGACTGATACCGAAGGCTGCGGTACCTACTGCCTCTTTCCACTTTTCCACCTTTCTTATTCTCATATCGTGTCTCGCCTTTTCCTTCTGGCAGCACAATTCTACAAAACGCCCCCCATCCCCACCCAACCATTTCATTCGGTCGACGACGACCTAGAAGCCCAGGAAAAAAACTAGGTGCCCGCCATTTATATATTACGACCCATCTCGCCTTGACGACCTGTCTCACCGAAGAGTCGTACAATCTTGATCGTACAAGTACCGCCTCCAGCCAATCTCTTCACGACATTCTCAGTCAGGGTCTCTGTGTGGCCCATTCTTCGGCTCATTGCTCTCGAGTTCGTTCAACCGACGTCGCGCAGACGAGGGACCACTTCATTCCTGTGTCTAACCCTTCGCCTTATTACCGGTTCAACTCTCGCGTCACCTTTGGTGTTCTGGATTCACTCAGCCGATCCGGTGAGACTCGATTCACTCCAATTGTTGGCCTCTCCTGGTCTACAATTACTTCTGCCCGGGTGTTCCTGCCTACTTTCGTGGCCCCCGAACTTTCTGTCTCACTGTGACCTCACTTTGGTCAGCTCCCAACAGTGTGGCCGAGGCCTCTTCTTCCCATTTGTACTCTCTACCTCGCTCCTTCCCTCACGCCTCAGTGTTTCGACGACCACACGTGTCCCTCACAGGATTAATTTCAAAATATTTCCTCCTTTCCTCGTCATACCATCCGCCTTTCTCGGGCCACTTTACTCATTCCTCATAATACGTAAAACCACGTCTCATATCTGGTATGTTTACTCTTGTCTACCCAAGTGGCCCTCCTGCCAAACTCACATCCGAGCGCGAAGAACTTACAAAACTCTCTGGAGATCAGACAAACACGAGCAAGTAGCCGTCACTCGGCCTCTTCCACCATGCCCACCAGCTTCGACCGCTTGGAGAAGCTCTTCTCCCGGAGAAAAGACTTCTCCGTCCAAACAAGCCCATCAACAACGCCAACCATGGACTCATCGGCTCCCAGAACCGCAAGTTTAGATCACAGTTTTCCTCAGCCTTCCTTCATCCGTCCGCGTGTCTCCCGCATGAAGGCTAGAGAGGAGCGCATTGTAGCATCACAAAATGAGAGACGTGCCCAGAGCCTCCCGGAAAACCAGTCCGAGCGCATCTCAATACACATCTCTCACCTCAGCAGTGCAAGCACGACAACTCTTACTCTTCCAACCCGCTCCATGTCGCTCAATCACCGCAGGGAAAGTAAGCCGGTGGCAAGTCTGCGTGGATTCGATTTTCCTTTTCCTCCCACGTCCCCATCCCCGGCTTCGCCATTTAGTACCACTTTCTCTCCGAAAACTCTCCCCACAACGCATAAGGTTTCCCTCGAGCACCGCCACAGCTCTGTCATCATCCCTCCCAGAGCCGACACCCCACCTACCTCGGACCACGAGGACGACTCAAGCATAAAGGGATCCCAGGGCCGGCCATCTTCTTCTCTCAGCAGAGACCTGCCAACACCTGCCGCATCTCCAGAAATGAAACCTATCAACGACATGAGATCCCGGGATTCTGCAGAGTTGAGCTTAGCCAAGAGGAAGGCAGCTGCTGCAGCGACAAGACGTCGAAGAGAGGAAAAGGCAGCCGCCTTGCGTCGGCCTCAGGGCCAGTCCAGACCTCACAGATCCATCACTTCATCAAGCCAAATCCTTAAAGGTGGAGATGTCATGGATTTCTACAACCTCTCTGACGAAGACATCTTGGAGGAGCCCGAGTTGGAGGATGCCTCGGAAACCCCGATTATGCCGGCGCCTTTACGGCTACCGCCCTCCCCGCCGACCCCGGCCTCTACAGTGTCATCGGTCGGTTCCAAGCGACGGACATCTTCCATCCATGCTGACGACGTCGCCAAGGAAGGAGCGCTGCAGGTTGCTCAGATTGCGGCCAAGCACAAGTTTGACCTTGTCTATATCGTCAACTTGTGGCCCGAAGGAGCGTCAGAGTTGTCGTCGCCCACGTTCCGCTCTTCTATGGATTTCTCATCAAGGCCCTCAAGCATGAGAAACTCTCTCCTTGGGCCCATGGATGGACCCATGGTGGACACAACTCCCGGTATGACCGGGCGTTTGCTCGCCGCCTACGGCTTATCGAATCTGACCAGCCCTTTCCGCATCTCGGCCACTGTTCAGTCCAGAATCTTGAAGCAGGAGGGCTGGATGGAATACCGCAGTGACGACGCGCAGGCGGGCGAAATCGCACGGGGTTACGGCCACGCCTTTCACACGGCCACAGGCCGAAGAGGCTCCGCCAATTCGAGTTCCCGGAGCCCGGGTCCGCAAGATGTAGCCCAGAACGATCGCGGCATTGTCTTCGCCGCCTACCGCTACCCGAGCAAGGACTCACAAACAATCGGATGTACCAAGGAGGAGCTGGACGCATTGCGCGCAGATGCTGAAGGCCTCGTGGATTATCTCGTCGCCATTCACAAGGCTCGACGCCTCCGAGATCCCATGACACTACAGACCTTGGTCGACGAGGACGCCACGCCTTGATTAACGCCAACCCCAGCGCCACACTTTAAAAACGCCGACACGACCGTTTCTGATTTATACCAAACGCGATCAGTGCAACGGATATTAAATGATTACGACCCGTCATTCCTTGACACATTCTTCTTTGGCTGGATTTACACATTTTTGCGATTCGTCTTTGATATGATACCACATGGAGAGCATCGTCCTTTGTTCGCGACGTGGACTTCGTCATTTAGCTCGAAAAAGGACATTTTCAGTCACATCCAGACAGTTCCGGTGCTATGCATAAGCATCGAGCGTTGGAGGTGACTTCACAGAGGCATGGCATGGAGAGAGGATGGGTTCTGAACTAGTCCATCCTGGACTCTTACGTAGCAAGTGGACTCGATCCATAATGAAAATAAAAACTCATGATACCTCAATCCGGTTTTCTCCCCAGCCACACTCGCGGGTCCCTGCTTTGGGCCGAGGCCATATTCCCATAACCGCACGACGAATCCGAGCGTACGCATTCTTCGGCTTTACCGGTGCGACTCGTACTTTTTCCTCTTTTTTTTCTTTTTCCACAACAATCCGATCTTTTTTTTCTGAATGAACTCTTTCTCTTCATGCCTCAAAGCTATTTTTTTCTTCGGCTGATATGGACAGACAGCACCACAGTTCATGAGTCGGGTTTGATTTTTGGGGGCTGAGCTGAGCCCATCAGCGGTGGCGCATATAGTAATTGCTCATGGGAGGCCTGGCCAATTCGCCCATTCTTTTGGTTCTGGTAGGGTCACTGACAGGTCCCATCTTTCCCGGCATCATCATGCCATCTGGCAGCGGGCGATTTGCAGTACGCACTTGCTTGGGAGGCCGGGGAACCCCTGGTTTCAAAACTTCCCGCGACGCTGGTTGGGTGGGGGTGGAGAGAAAGAGTGAGAGGGGATAGAGGATCCGGGTCATTTTTGGATCTTGTCTGGCCCAGGCTTTTTCTTGCCATTATGGATACTCCAATGTCGATGGGGAGGAGGAGGGAGGGGCTCTGGGAGGCGAAAAAGGCAACGCCGCAACGGCGAAGCATGGTCAGGCATTGAGGAGGTCTCCGTTCGCCATGTGGTTAGAGGTGGGCTTGTGTGGCTTGCTCGATGTGACGATGGTACGCTGGCGTGGGTTCGGGGATGGAGTCGTGGCCGTTGAGAGCGTTGGTGAACTTGGCGCCGATGGGATTTGATTATCGTTGCGTCGGTGCATTCTTTTTGCTCTCTCGCCCTCAACCCTTTCATCTCTGCGTGACCCGCTCTTGACTGTCTGGTTACTATTCAGAAATTCAGACAGTGGAAGATGAAGATGCCCAGTTGGAAGGATCATTGGGCCAACTCTGAAAGTTTGAAGGGCTTGACATGATGTCAGCTGTAGTTCTGACGACAGTCTGACAGAGAGCCGCAAACTCTGGCCGGGGACAGACAGTTCATGATTCGATGGGAATAGCGTGCGGCTTTTTGGAGACTCGGTTATGTACGGACGTAGTGTACGGGATACTGCACGGCATGGCATCCCTGGACTTTGTGAACTTTGCCCACCCCCATATTGCCTACATGACTGCATGTACCTAACCCTGTCCACCCGCAGAACCCCGTTTCGATAGGGTTGCAGTGGATTGGGAGGAGAGCTTTCGAGCTTTCCGGGTGGTGGGAGGAGGCGATTGCGAACGTTTGGCCGGCTCTCCTCATTCTTTTTTACATCCTTGGCAACTACCAGAAAACCGGCAGGATTCCTTGGGTCTAGTGATTGACTACCTACCAGGCCTTTACCTGACTTGAGCGGGGAGAAGAGACATGAGGGGGCGAGCTTGTAACCTTCGATCCCCCGCGCAAGCGAAGAAAGGGCAAAACGAGTTCCTGCGTCTCTTGGGTGGATGCGACGGCGGCAGGACGGCACGAGCGGGCGTGGTGGATGTGTGCCGGTGCCATGTCTCGACCTCTCTGGGCTTACCTTTCGCGCGATTGTGGCTTTCGGTTTTTTTTCTTTCTTTTCCTTCTGGTTTCCCCCGCCACGCCCGCGCGGATGGCTTTTGTTAGTCAACCAGTGATGAACGGCGTTTGGTACGGAACTACGGAGTATGATGCAACTCTCTCGCGGATCGCGGATCGCGGGCGCGCGCATGCGTGTCTTGGGGGTCAGAACTAGATGAGGGCTGTGGGCATGCAGGCCTGGGATGCATCTCTGCAGGGCTAGTTTGAGGGTACGACCACATCTTGGCTGCGGCGCGGGCGCGACATCCAGTAGGAGGGGGAGGGGGGGGGGGGGCACAAGGGAAAGAAATGAACGTCTGCTCCGTCTGCGGTGTATTTTTCTTTCTTGATATTTTGTCCGCGGCGTGCCTTGCATTAAGTGCGTAAGGTAGGATTCTGTCTTTGTTTCTCGGTGTTTTGATAGCGGATGGAAGCCGAAGGATGGGTTGCAGTGGTGGTTCTCTAGTGAGCTATGTTCGTACCGGTAGTGAATCGTGGGTAGGAGGGCTAATGCAGGTTCTGGATTATCAATGACGGAAGGGAATGGGTTGCAATGCTTGATGTTGATGGGAATTCTGGTGTGGTTTGACCGTTTGAACATTGATTGACGGTGGTATTGGACCTAATTTTGAACATGTCTGGTTCAACTACGCATTTGGTCGGGAATCTCTCGTTATTCACATTTCTTTTTTCAATGTCTCGGCAGAGTCTCGTCAAACCGCCCATCTACAAACCCGAATCCGAGCTGCAGGTTGGCGTTCAGGCGTCCGAGAAGGTGGCTGGCGTCCTCTTTGGACATGCTCTTGATACTGCCACGGCTGCAGCGTTGCCCTCCCAAGTCAGCGCTCAGACGTTGATGAGATCGGGACCGATGGTCCGGCTCTCTTGAGGTGAAGTAGGATAGCGCGGATGGGGGCTCATCATTGGTCTTGCGGGGGGAGCTATTCGCGAGATTGCTACGAGATAGCGTTCTGACTGATCGTCGATGGGTGGTGTGGTTGCCATGATGTTTGTCTTTGGCGGATGATTCGATACCGGATTTGGTGGGGGGCCTTTTGAAGATATGATTTGACCAGCTATTCTACCTTAGTTTCAGGGGCACCCTCTATCTGAATGATGTGGATCTAGCACTGGCGACAGTGCGATGAACTGCTCCGGTGGCGGCCAACGTCAGATTAAGACGTCCTGATGCCATTGGACGAACTGGACGATGATCTGAAATGTCAGAAACACCCAATCGGCTCCGAAAGTACGTCTGTGACACTACATCCGGCGCCGGCGTGGAACGAGAGGAAGGCCACGAGGGCGTGTGGGAGAGGCGTTTTTGCCCGTTTAACGTCCGGGCGCGGGCGGGCGGAAGCGGTCGCGAATGGGTTGAAGCTAGGTTAGTAGGCTGTGTTGGACTAGGGGAAGCGTGGCTAGAGCTCCCGGGGCCGACGCTAGACTCTAGACGTGCTTTGAATATCAACGTCCGGGTTTCAACTGCGAAACGGAACTAAGGCGATGATCGATTTTGATGGGATGGGGAGGGGAAGAGACCTTGATGAGCAGGGTCAGTGTGATGAAGTTGAACAATGGGACAGTCTTCAATGTATAATGGATCAAATGGGCTAGGAACATCGAGGTGAAGCTGGACGGGGTGAGAAGGTCGTCGCCTTCGAGCGGCGAGTGTCAGTGTTACTTGGTTCGTTGAAGCCTTTGTAGGCAGCTCTGGTAGAGATAGCGTAGCGACTGATTGATGACTTTACTCTACCAACACAACTCTACCAACACATAAGTCAAAATATCCAAGAGCAAAGAAAATGAAGAAGTGACTCAACTATTCACCAATTTTGCTGTGCTATCTCGTAGGTATGGAAAAAGTAACCATATCAACGTTTCCGCTCAGTGCTCTAAGAACCATCTCATTGACTCAAGCTCTTCCAAGCCTCAAACACTTTGGGCGGCATACAGCTCTCAATCACATTGCGAGCCTCTGCAATAGCTTCTCCTCTCCGTTCTCCTGATGACGTGGGTAACACAGCCTTAAGGGCAGTATGACAGGCTAGTACAGTGCTGAACATGGTCCCGTCATCATTCTCCCCCAAGGGAAACCACCCACCACCCTCCCCAAGGACTTTGATCATGTTGGCTAATGCCTCAGCCAAACTTCCACCCTGAAAAGCATTGGTCACACAGTCTCTATCCCAAGTCTTCGTGATAGTGTCGAAGAAGTGAAGCAGCGGGCTCCATTTCAGATCTATTCCAGGTGTTACATTCGGAGAAGCTCCTTTTGTGATTAGCCATTTGGCGTTACGAACTAAGGCTTCATTGCTGCCTTCGTCTATGAGAAAGGGCCTAGGTTCGAAAGCAGCGACCGTCGCATGCAGCGCAAGCATTCCAATAGTGCAAGTCGTGGCCTCGGAACGATCATCTTTTGCGTCCATATCTGAATGAACCGAGGATTGAGTGCCCGAGAGGTCAGTGTCGTAGGCGTATTCTATTACTTTAGACCCAACATGAAGATCGACAACCTTTTGAAGATGAATTTTTGACGTGTATAAGAAACTTTCAAGAGTGGAGGTCTCTAGTGCTGGAAAACTGCATTGGCATGCAATCAAGAAACAGTCGAGAATCTCTTGATCAAGAGGCGCAAAGTGTGGTTCGTGTTGCGCTATGGTATCCCACAAGATATCCGGCATCATCTTGTTCAGGCCCGGCGCAAGAGGGGTGTGATAATCCTGACCCCAATACTCGGACCTCGCCGTTAAGAGCGATTGTCTCAGCCTGGAGACGATCTTCCCTTCGGTTCCTGAAGGACAGTACCAGGCGCCTCCCGGTTCTGAAAAGAGATAACGTGCCGCGTTTGACTTTGCCACGTTTGATATGAATTTGAAGATATCAGTTGCCACTTTCGATGAGAATAGTTCAAGAACGTTGAGTGTCGGGTCGGTCTTTTCCATGGCCAGAGCATATTCGAAAGCGTTATCGTAGTGAATACCAATCCTGCCCAGCGTGAAGGACCGCTCCGGGTTCGCCCCGAGACGTCGCAGGAGGGCCACCGAGAGCTCATTATGCGCCGTTAATGCGTAGTACAGCGGCGTCGCACCACTTTCCACCACGACTTCGTCAGCATCCACTCCCATACACTGCACGAGCTCTTTGATGATGGGCTCATTGCCGGAATAGGCGGCGGATTGGAGTGCGGAAACCGCTATCGCTGGACCTCTATACTTTGTCGGATTCAGTCCCTCCCAGGCGCGGTCGAAGACCTGGTTGAAGCGAGGATATTTTGGCGAAGTATGGCCCACACTTACGCTTCGAGACGAAGCGCCGCTGGAGAGCAGCAAGCGGGCGACGGAGACTTTGTGGTGGCAAATAGCAATGTGTAGGGGCGTCCAGGCCGGTACGGCTTGCCCTATTAACCTATAAGTAGGAACCGGATAGGTGCCTGGGGGAATACACTGGCACAGAAACCTCGCCGGCATCTCCACATCGACAGAGTGCTGGTCCAGAAGCCACCGGACGGTATCGTAGTGCCCGCCCTTTGCGGCGAGGTGCAAGGGGGTTGCGAAGCAGGCTTTTGACAGTGCGACCTCGACACCTTGCCCGTTTGGAGCCTCTCGGCTGTTCCACTCCTCCTGCCACTTGAACCAGTCTTTGAGATGCTGGGGAGCATCGGCTGGATAGATCTTGTTCATGTCCGCGCCGTGCGACGCTATACGCTGGAGAGTGGCCAGGTTCCCCGTTGCGGCGCTCCTGGAGATGATGTGGGTGTTGTCATCGCGCATCGCCGCGAGATAAACCTCCTTCTGAAGGTTCATGTGGAATTCGATGCTGACTTGCGCGAGTGCAGCGACGTCGAAACTGTGCAGGAAATTGCAGACGTGTAGCCAGATTTCAGCAGGAAATCCCACGCGCGGTATAGTCGACGACATGGTGGTCGTGAGTGAGGGATGTGTGCTGTGATTGGTGGTGTGGGAAGACGATCAATGCGATTAATTCGAAGATTTTTAATAAGCTGTTGAGGACTGTTAGAGTTCTTCATGAGGAGTCATGAGACAAGAAAGTAAGGCGAAATTATATACTTCAGTGCGAATCATCCGGGTAACCACCAATGTGAACCCGGAAGGAGCAAGGAGATAGCTCAACCTTTCTCCTTCTCCATGAGCCAACCTGGCAAAGGGCTTCAAGGCTTCGATGCGATCAAATGTTACGAAGCCAGAAAAGCCCTGAAAAGTGCTAAGGGACTCTCCGGCTCGCCGTTGAAGTTCGGCGCCGGGCCACCTTCCGGAAGACTAGCCCCACCGAGCCGTTCCGATCTTCGGGACTCCACTCCTGCGGGCCACTAAGTCCTCCGCTGAAAGTGCATTGTCCGTGTCTCATCAGACGCACGAATTATGAATTGCGCTTGGAAGTATTCCGTGCAACCGAGATGAGGCTAGAAGCGCATCATGGCAGGTTATTCTCGTGAGAATGAAGACTAGCAACCTTCCAGGTACGCGAGACAGCATGTTGCTTCGCCATATTTCAAACTCTGAATTACTGCCGAGCGGCTCCCTTTTTGAATTGACGATCTTACAGTGGCTGTAGGGAGAGGAGGCGGTGGCGATGCCTTTCAAGCTTTCGTACGCCGACCATGCCGGTCTTGTAAGCCGTTCGTGACCCACCCGGCGGAAAATACCCACATCGCCGATGACCCGTGCCGCACCGCCGCGGCGGCCATTGGTCCCACCCGCCCAAGCTTTCGCGTTTTTTTTCCCGATATTTTTTGCGCCAGTGAACTTAATTGAACCCTGGCTCAAAAGAGATAAGGAGAACGCCCCCAAATCTTCCTCACTGATGAGTGAACGCGAATGAGTAAACATGCTAGGAGCTGCTGGGTAAGTTTGATTGCTGCAATTAACGAGATAATCCCTCGCCTCGGTAGATAGTCATGTTGGAACTTTGTAAGTACCTTCCTTACCTTAGGTGAGTGACTGCACAATGCTGCATGGGGCATCCCTTCGGTCACGCCGCCGGACACTAGTCGCGGACTGCGACCGACTCAAGGGATGAGCGGGCGCCGGTGGAGAACAAGCCTTGATTGTCGCGAGAGAATCCAGGCCCGATCACGCAACGTTGACGAAGGGGTCTTTTTTTCGTTTATTCAAGCTTTCCCGGCGTCGGAGTCAAGTGCCGCCTTGCATACCGGATCTTCCGGATGAACACAACAGCTCACTTAGTCACTCTTGTCTTTTGACTACGACATATTCTCTAGTCGCTACGCTATATTCGCATGTTAGCCTCTGGAAGAAATCTGGGAATAACATGCGGATAAGAAATCTTGCCCGTCGCTCAAAGTTTCATGATGCAGGACAGACACACAGGGTTCAACCCGTTTTTCCCGGATGTGCATGGCACCAGGCGGTAAGAGAGGTTTTCACCACCTAGTTTCACGCCGGTTCATTTAGGCCCCAAAAAACCATCCGACGTCATGACAGGCGATCCCTCCATCTCAGGTTACGAGTAATCTATTTTACCACGAGAGACTTTTTCACACAAGCCGAGGACCAAATGGCTAATGGCTGCCAAAGTGAGACCACGTTCCCGCCGCTAGGGCCGCCGACGCAGGCATTCCCGTTGATCGGTTGACAGGGCGGCCAACATACTTCAGCCGCCCGATGTCCGGAGAGCTGAAAAGGCTGACGTCCTGTCACCTTTCTTCCGTCCCATCTCACCTCATCTCATCTTATCTCACTTTGCGGTCACATACGTCAGACAACACACTGTTATCAAGTCACCACCATCGTTCAAACCGTAGACTACCATTTCACACCATTGAGCGAAACCAGTAATCAAGGAAGCGCAAATCGATACGGGTACAGTGGCCGAATAGTTTTAGCTATACGTCCGCTGCGGAAACAACCCCATAATGTCAATCACAAACGCCATCCTCACATCCTCACAACCAACAATGACATCGCCACACCCTCCACTCCCGCAAAGCTGTCACTCGTTCATGACACTCCCCCTCGAACTCCGCCTTCTCATCTGGGAAACCTTTAGCTCGCAACCCCGCGTCTTCGAATACCGAGAAGACACCCACCTCATCAAGCCGTCCCGCGAGTACCGCCACGCACGCGCCGCCGGCCTCATCACAAACGCCGAATCGCGAAAGGCAACCCGCGCCCTCCTCCGGCCCTTCCCGCACCCGTACGACGTTCAAAAGGATTCTCGCCCGTCGCCGCCGCTTCCCCTGCAGTTCGTGCCCTCATCTGATATCATCTACCTCCCACCGCTCGTCTACCGCACACGGCTCGGCGCATGGGACTCACTCTGGACCACGAAACCGGGCATCGAGAATGTTGGGATCCACTGGTCCGTTCTACTCGACGAGCGGCGTATCGCGGAGGCGTTGCGGGCTTGTTCGCGGTGTTTTAATGATATGAGGAGGTTGTCCGTTTTTATCGAGTTTAAGCCGCTTCCGCAGCCGGAGGAGGAGGTGGGTAACGGCGGGATTGTGAGGTTATTGGGTCCTGCGGAGGATGAGTATCGCTTGCCGAGTTTATATGCCGAGGCGCATGGGTTGACGGATGAGTTTTGGACGTGGGAGGAGTTGAGGATGGCACTTGAGAAGGTGAAGAGGGCGATGAAGTGGACGCCTGAGATTGAAGGGGTGTTGTACACCAGGGAGGTGGAGGAGGCTTCTGCTTTCTGAGATGGGGTGGGATTGGTATTTCGATGGCTTTCTCTCATCTAAGCTGGTCATATCGATAAGGACGTCAGGTTGACGTGGGGCATGCCCTGACAAAGGATGTAATGTTTTGAGGATTTATCAGGGATCAAGCTCAGCATGCGGCGCCATGATCGAGCGAAGGTTACACGGCATTTCAGCGGGGGTTTCGGGTATTTTCATGGCAGGACTGATATTAAATACCACTATTGAATGAGATATGAAGACATTTTGAGCGTTGTTTGCAGACTTGCCCTCGCGTGCCTTGAAGTGAAAAGTAGAAGAGAATGATGAAGTTGCTTTCTTCCACCATCTTGAATTCCGTTCCATCACATTTTCGAGGATTTCAACTTTCAGAGCCCTGTGTACCTGGGTATCGTCTTCAACTTATTCATACATCTAACTTTAGCTCCTATTCACGCCGTTGAGATGGGGTGCTCGTGGCCACAACCTCGTTCAAGCTCAGATCCACGCCCATCAATCTCTGAGAGCCTTGAGGCCCATATTCATGATCACCTCAACCTCAACAACCTCTCCTCCGACCTCCCCCCACACTCTTGCTTCAACCTCCCACTCATCCAAAATATCCTCATCCTCGTCGTCGTCTTCATCTTCCAATCCCGAGTCCGACAATTCCTCAAGCTCGCCACCCTCCAATCTCTCAGCTTCGGACTCAACCTCAAACGTAGATTCATACCCATACCCCTCGTACTCCTCTGTGTCCTCTACTACATCTTCCTCTACCCCACTTTCAAGGTTCCCCTGTCTCATCTTCACTCTCATCTTCATCACCAACTTCACTCTCCTCGTAGTCGCCGTCTTCCTCTTCGACATAGGTACCTTCATCGATAAGCCCGTGCAGGCTCAGTAACTCCTCGATTTTGGGCCTCTCAGACCAATGATCAAAGGCATCGCGGATGGCAAGATCCTACTCTTGGCGGAGAGGAGGAGGCCGGCAACGGAGCCATGTCGTTGGCACAGGGCCACATGTAGGGATGTGCGGGCCGAGCGGCAGGAGGAGGGAAAGGACCTGCCCCTTGCCCTCTTGCCGACTGGCATGCAATAGCATAGGCTTCTCCCGGGGCCATCAACGTCGACGTTCTGATCTGGTAGCCACTCGACCATCTCAAAGCGGCCTCCAGCGGCAGTCTGTTACAGCGGCGTGCCCCAGGTCGTCATCCTGTCCAAATTTTCGTCGCCTGTGGGGCCCCATTGTAGTGGTGCCACGGGATAAGTCCTGGCAATGTCTCACTGATAGCTCATCGGTCGACATCATAGATCCTCTCGCCGCGATGCGAAGATGAATCCAGCTTCGAAGTTGATGAAGAGAGCTATGATGAGACCGATGAGTACCCTGTGTTTAGGCAGCACGAATGCCCATGTTCTGCAACCCCTGCACGATATTCGGCGACGGCACAACAAGTGTGGATGGGCAAAGCCACACACCGCCACAGGGCGACTATGAGCCATGAGAACCGCTTCCACTCGTCGTGTGGTCACAATACGGGCAGTTTGTGAAAATTGGAGATTGGGCCGGAGGTCATGCTGATGTACAGTCGAGTGGGCGATCACGTCGTTGGGTGGACCCCGGGGATCATGTAATCCAGATTACCGGACGGTTGACGCCATCACGACACAACTCCAACAAGACGGTAAAACTTATATGAGAAGCATTCTCAGGCCAGTGTGACAGGTTCTTGGTCCGTATTTATGTTTGCTTTTTTATTTTGGCGAATGTAAGGTGCTTCTGGTGCGTATCGGCGACCGCGTTAGAGTTCCGCGATCGACAGGATGATCTACGGGCAATGATAGAGCAGCACTGGTACGGATATGTCCCAAGGACTGGAGCAATATTTATGTCTCTCCATCACAGCCCGTGCCGATCCGGACGAGAGTGTGGTCGTGTTCCGGCACGAGTGCTACCTTGTGCCTGGTACTCAACTCGTTGATGATACCCATCGTTCGTCGAACCGCGTTGAGGCGCCGAAGCTTTCGATTTGTCATATCGGGAATGAAAGGCTGAACGAGATTTAGCCAAATGCTTTCATATCTGCGATGACGTAAACCTGCTTTCCCGCATATGCTGAAAGCTCATCTCGAATTCGGGGAGAGTCTCACTCATGCTGGCGTGCTTTCTTCCGGTGACAGATGCCCGTATTTCGGTGTCCGGTGATGAAGGCAAGATGGCTGAGAACTGCATCATGGAAGATCCCTCGGACATGGCTTGTGGGACGCTAATGATTCTTGATTTAATCTATAATGCTTAGAGGCTTGGAAAGCCATCGAAAGACAAAGTCCACAAAAGTACAGCCGGTCAGCATCAACGCCGGCGATACTCATCTCTCTCAGAAAACCGAGGCCATCGGCGTTTCAACACTCCAAAGGACGTCTACCAAAGCTCACATGTAGGCTGCCTCTGAGGGCAGTTGAAAACACTGCGGAAGTCTTTAGAATTATCCAAGGGCCCTTTGATGCGAGCGAATCCTGGAGAGTGCACGTCGGCCCCAAGCAGGTAGACGTCGTACACCTTCGAAGACGACACGTCGCACCAATTCTGTGCCCATTTCAAGAAGAAAATCTGATCATGCGAGAAACTCTGCAGGCCCGGCAAGTCGAAATCTTGAGACTTCTTATCTGCTTGCAGTTTCTTCCATGCCGTATAACTCGTCGCCACACCTCCAGCATCTGCTATGTTTTCACCAAGCGTGAAGTTACCCCGAACGGGAACATTCGTACCATTGGGCGCAATGACTGTGAACTGCTGATACTGGTTGGCAAAGCATTTGGTACGATTACTGAATGCCTTGAGGCTCTGCTCATCCCACCAGTTTGTGAGGGAGCCGTTGGCAGCATAATTGTGCCCGCTGTTGTCAAAGCCATGGGTGAGCTCATGACCAAGAACGGTGCCAAGTGCGCCATAATTGACATATGATGGATAGGCAACATTATAGAGGGGCTTTTGCTGGATACCAGCATTGATGACAATGTCGTTGAAGGTTGTAGAGTAGTAAGCATTTGTTGTCGATGGGGTTTGCAGCCAAATGTTCTTATCAGCAGGCTTGCCAAGCAGAGCCCACAGCGATTTGCTAGAGAAAGTGGCAAACGCAAGGGCATTGTCGAAGTAGGAGTCGGTGACCTTGAGTCCAGTGTAATAATCTGCAAGCTTGCGTGGGTTTGTGGTGTCTGGAGATACATCGGGGTAGCCGATCTTTTTCGAAATGGCGTTAACCTTCACTTCGGCCTCTTTCTTGACTTCGGATGTTAACCAGTCCTTTTCGCCGAGGCGCGAGATAAAGGCCTGCTGGATCGTGCCCATCATATTGATAGCCAGATCACGAGCTTCGTTCGAGTATGCCTTATCGAGGTAAAATCGACTCAGAATCCAGCCGAGCCCGGCAGGTAGGCCACTCCATGGGACACCCTCATCCACATGACCGACACATTGCTGCCATCTCGGTGGCTTGCCAACCAACTCCGGATCTGTAGCGCGAAGCTTTGATTTCAAGTCGTTCAACCTTTCCGTGACATCTGTCTCAACGAAGTTGGAGAAGGTGGACACTGTTTTCCAGATGAAGAATCCTTGAACTGTCTCGACAGAGGTGTTGGCGAGAAGCTGGGATAGGTTGCCAAAGTAGGCGGGGGAAAACACAAGTTGATCGGGCGTATAGTCTGCAGGAATCAAGTTGTTGATGACGAAATCGTGACCGAGTTCTGGGGCCACGCTTGTGACCTCTTCCAACTTAAATTTCCTAGCTGGCGACTTTGGTGATTGTCAGTCTCTCGGCCAGACCAAAAGGTCAGGAAACCACTCACAGTTGGGCTTGCCTTGCTGTCATCAGTAGCCTGCAAAGCGACCGCGTCCTTTTCAAACTTAGTGACGGCTAAAGCAAGTCTCTGAGCATTCATAACATCGAGTTTCGCCGGATGGACTGCCTGAAGAAGTGCTGCCATGATGCGCTCATACTCTGCAACAGTATCATTATTTCGGGCTACTGAGCCCGTGAGCAACGGCGTGCCTCCGGGAACGACGGTTATGAGTGTCTTGTTCTGCTCACAATTAGTATGCGTCAATAGTGGCAGGCCCTTAGGTGCCAGGTAAACGTACCGTATTCTGGTCATCAAAGTCAACAGTGACTGACTCGAACGTAGAAATGCCTAGTTGACCAAAGAACAGTAGCGTCTTGCCCATGTTTTTGGCATCGTTCTTTGAGATCTTGCGTTCCTTGTCCTCTGTAGTGTTGGCCACAGGAAACGCCTCCGCGACGCGGTTGACGAGATTGATGAGAGGACCCAAGCCTGCCGCCTTGACGGCGGTGTCATTGATGCAGGCATTGTAAGTCTCCACGATCAGCTGAAAGTTGTCCCGATCTACGCCGACTTGCTCTTGTGACAGCGATGCCGTGATGAATCCAGCGTCTGGTCCGCTGGGATAGGTACCTTCCACGATGTTCTTCAGCACTATTGAGACATCACTGCCGACGATACCCAGCGATGAGGCCTTTCCTTGGCCAGCCCCAGGAGCATGGGTTGCTTTCCATCCAGAGCACGCATCTGCCAAGAAAGTATGTTAGCCAACCAGAGTCATGCAACATACAGAATCCGCGGCAGTGCCGAGTAGGAAAACAACGAAAAGAGAAGTGAGACAAGGATCGGGAGCTTGGGCGCGGGGAAACTAGAGCTGGAAGCAATGCGAGTGGGGGAAACAAAAGGCAATTGGAGTCGTGCGACGCACATTTGTCAAAGTCTGTGCACGGATCGATGTCGGTATGGTTCGGCGCGAGACTCATGAGAATGTTTGAGGCGATCTCGAGACAGATCGGTGTGGTGCAAAGGCTGCTGCCGTCCGCGGCCGTAGTGAAGGGGGCCATTTTGTCGACTCGCGAGCAGTACTTCGAACGTACTCACAGAGCTAGCATCACAAGTCAGCAGGAAGGCTCCTGGGCAGTGGAAGTACTTGATAGACACACCTTGGGATGAAGAAGCGACCTGGTGAGCCGGACAGGGAAGCTGAGACGCTTAAGACTGGAACCAGAAGCGCCTTTCACCAACAAGCTGACGCCTGAGTTGATGGAGAGAGGAAAGCTAGCGAGGATCGGTTGGAGCTGGTTCATCCAGTGTGGGCTTGGGGACGAGCTGGTCCCTATATATAATGGCTCGCAAGGGGAGGAAAATATGCTTTTCCTGCAAACCTTTTTTGGTCTTAACGATGTTGGGCATCGAGAACCATAGAATGCAGGATAACGATGCCAAAAGCGGTAATGTGAGGGCGGCGGTGGTGTGGTGTCGTGGATGTCGCAGAAGAAGAAAGGCAGCGAGGCGTTGACCCAGTTCTCTTCAGACAGTCCGAAGGTACCCCAACAGACCAAGTACCTGCCCTTTTCAACTTTCTCACGATCTTCACTGCTTCTAGCCAAGGCAGAGTCCAGCTAGTTGTACCTTCCTAACCCGTCCTTAGGCGTGCTGGAACATCGCAGGCGAGGCTGCCTTGTTTCCTGCCAAGACTGCCATTTGCCAAAGTCAAACCAACCCCAGTTCGTTGACACATCGGAACTCAATGTGGTGACGAAGTTGACTCGGCGGATGTTCATATGTGCATGCGGCGAAGGTAAGCATTGCGGAGAAAGGCAGTACAAAAGTGCCGCTCGCCAAGGATCGGGGGCTTTCGCAGAGTAACCTCCGAAGTGACATTTCAGCCGCGGGAAGCCGATCCCGACTCCCCGTCCCGTAACCCCCGCGTATCTTAGCTTAGCTTATTCTCTCAAGTTGAGCGGCGCGATGTCGATCATCTATGTGCGTTTTTGCACAAGTGTCGCTCGCAATCTGAGGCTGCCGGATGGACTGGCTTGACTGGTATCTTGGCCTGCCCAGAACGGACAGCTGGAATATTTGGCTGATATGTGGCTGCGAGTGAGCTTCCTGGTTTCGTAATGCCATGTGGACGCACGTGTATCCCAAAGGCCGACGAGTTGGTTAGCGCGGTGGCCAAGAGAACGGCGCGATTTGTTTCTGGAGGCTAGCTGGTACTCTATCAACTGCAGTGAGGGCAGCATAGCAGTTGCTCACCTCCAGCGCCATGACACAGGAGATGCAAGTCGGCGACCAGGCCACGCAAATGTCTCATATCACGAACCGCAGAAAGGATGCCATTTGGCCAACATATTGGCAGCGCCAAGAACCTTCGCATGACTGTTAGGAAGCGGCTCATTCTCGGCAGACCTGCGTTTTGACTTCCTCTGAATAGCCTTTTAGCATGAACCTAGCATCGAAGGCTAGAACATGCGCGAAATGTGCCTCACAAAGGCTTTGGAATGCATAGCGATTCGTTGGGTCGATAGCTACGATCTGCCAGGATCCAATGGGACGAACGAAAACCTTGGACAAGGACCGTTTTCGAAAACGAATGCGGCATGATTCTTTGCAGCTTGCCACGCCTCGTCAAAAGCACGCGAGACCAGACGATGGCGTTCCTTGGTGGCAGAGCCTCAAAGTAACCTGGTGTTACCGTTCCTGGCGTCGAAGCACAATGATAGATCCTTCATCCGGGCAGATGGGTCGATACTTGGGACGAGAAGGTCTGCACTATATGCGACTGGAAGCATTCAGCCATTGCGGCGACTCCAAGACGTTGGCGCTGCTGATGATCCGATATTGGCACTTGCAATATATCACGATCGAGAAGTATGCGAATCGTGGGATAGATGCGGCGAGGCGGAATCTGGCAAGCCAGCCACAGGTATCACAAAGCTCTTGAAGGTAAGGTACCTAATATGTGTGGAAGTCTTGAAGGCGGAAGATGTCGAAGGAGGAGGGTCAGCTAGGCACGTGCTTCTCTGGAGTGGCCTGTGCACACCTTGCCTCAGCAGAGCTGAACAGACCACATACAAAAAGACAAGTGGGGGAATCCCCGGAGGGAAGGCCCCGCATCGATCAAGCCACGTTCACCATTTGGTTTCATGCGCCACAATGACGTTGATGTCAGTCACGCCTGGTTCCTCGGGGAGGCAATACCTCAAGCGCAATCTTTCGCTTGATCACCTCGGGCCTGTAGCCTCTCCTTCTCCCTTACCTTGTGGTTTTTATCGCTATTCTACCATCTAGAACAAGCCTTTTGTACCTACAGTTCTACCGATCATCAAGATGGCGAACACTGGTGCCCCTCCAAATTACTGTGAGCTTCTCTCCGATACCCCACCATAGCTATCGAGCTGCGACTAACATTGCGCCAAAAGACAAGATCCTCGAGATCTCGGAGGCGGCCACGACCCAGCAAGTTCGCGATGCATACAAGAAGTAAGTGATTCAAACTATCGATCCCAACTTTCCTCGAACTAACTCTTACATCTAGAGCCGCCCTGAAAACACACCCAGATAGGGTCCCCGCCGACTCGCCCGAGCGAGCAACGCGCACCCGCAAGTTCCAGCTCGTCAATGACGCATACTACACCTTGTCCGACACACAAAGACGCCGAGAATACGATGCCCAGAGAAAGATCTTTGGCGCATCCGCCGGCACAACGTACGGCGACTTTTCCGACGACGATTCCGACCCAGAGGAAGTACCCCCGCAGGCCGGTCCCAACCCGCAAAATGCCTACTCGTGGGCATGGAACTTCTTCACCGGCGGGAAGCAGGGCCAACAAAACGAGGGTCAGCGCGCACAGGCAGATAATGCGCAGTTTGGCGACGTTTTCGAGGAGATGTTGCGCGAAGAGGGCATGGCCGAGGAGGGTACCAACCGCCCGACGAGCTCGTTCTGGAGTATGGTAGGCGGTCTTAGTGGTGGCGCGCTGGGATTCATCGTCGGAAATATGCCTGGTGCGTTGGCTGGTGCTGTCGCTGGAAACAGGCTTGGCTCTGTTCGAGATGCGAAGGGCAAGAGTGTCTATGCCGTTTTCCAGGTCAGTGCGAATCTGGAGATATCTACCGGGTAGATCCCGTCAGCCTCTCTTTCAAGAATGTCTTGCAAGGTGGATTTGTACTAACATGTTGTAGGACCTCCCCCAGGCAGATCGTGCGAGGCTGCTCACCCAGTTGGCTGCCAAGGTGTTCAGCCATACTGTAGGAGCTTAGGAAATTTTGGTATTTCAGATGGGTTCAGGATGATATCACATGGGCAGCTCGGAGTTTTGGGTTCGGTCGACACGGTATGAATAGGTAGTTTCACGAGGCCACCTTGGCACTTTGGCATCAATACATTAGATAGCTTTTATCCCTTCAAAAGTCTTGCGTCTCGTCAGTAATGTGACGCATTTGTAAAGCACAGCTCGACGAACCTTGCCTTTTGACACAACATAATGCACGATCGGATTGGGACCGCCTTAACACACATCATGGCCTCCACTGGCTGGCATCTCACCAATTACACCATCAGTCACAACTCCACCAGTCCCCACGAACCATGCCCAGGTGATGTCCAGGGTTCCGCAGCTGTGGATGTGCGCGGCGGGGTGAAGCGGGGTTGTCGCGCTTTATGAACAGCTCCCCGCTTCTAAACCTCAACAATCAGTCACTAGTCAAGGTGCCAGAGTGGTTAATGGGCTGCCCTGCTATCATACCTTGATTCCAGATTAGGCAGTGGCTTCGGTCGCGCAGGTTCGAATCCTGTCCTTGACGCACCTTCCCTTTTGATGTTCTGAATAGTCAGCTCTCAAGCTCAGCTTTTGCCAATTTGTCCGTCTCTTTTGTCTTATGGCTTATGTTCCGCTATTGCACGCCGGAAATGCGTCCAAGCGGGCGACAGTGCCCGAGCCCGGTTGTTCTGTGCCCCACTATACATGGATTAGGCATGGAAGCGAAGCAAAGCTGCGTGATCAAATACAACGTGATGGTAGATGATGAGTGAGTAGCGAATGTAAGTACATCTATGTACACATTCAGTGCCATTTGATCATCGTACACTATTGCTATCTTCTGCTTAAATATGTGAATACGGACGAACTCCTGTTCAACATAACCTTGTAAGAAACTCTCTTCTAAGGGAGCTCATCGGTCACAAACGCCGCACGTGGTGGCCGGGGCTTGGCTTGGACTTTTGCTAATGGTTCCTCAACCTCGACATCCCATTCCTGGCGACTGTGAGAGCCGCCTTTGTATTTCTGTGGCGTTTCCGTTCCTTTGTTGGATATTGGCATGGCCGCCAGCTGCGAATACTGATTTGAACCCACGAGTTTCAACAACATGAAGAGCCACTTGAACAGGGCCAGTGCTACAACTTCCGACGCCTTCAAAGATTTCTGAGAAGTACCCAAACCAACTGACTGGCCAAGTGTATCCACGGAGTTTTGGTCACTGCTGTCGTTGACGAGGGTATCGTCGCTGGAAAACACGCTCCCGCTCTCTGCTGGCGATCGTTGGCGACTCATCCCCACCGAGGTAAGCTGCTGGTGGGAATATTGGTTCAAGATATCCACCGCCGCATCTTTCACTACATCGAATTCTTGGCTAGGTATATCGGTCGGTTGAGACATCTGCTCAAATGTTGCCGACATGGGTGCTGGCATCTCAATTGGGACGGTTTCGTAATTCTCCTTCTGCATGGCCATGTTTAGACCGCATGCGATGCCGTCGAGCTGCTTCTTGAAGACAGACTTCGCTGAGGATAAGTCGATCCGAGTTGTCGTCGAATTATCGGTGTCGCTCGACTTTGAGCAAAATCTCGAAAACTTGTATTTCCCCTGGCGGATCTTGCTCTTGAGACGCCCCTCGACTTCAACGCACATGGTGACCGGCCGACCACTGTGCTCGAATGCGAAGCCAGTATGAAAGATGTGCCGTCGGAACGGATTGCAATCCGTCTCGTTTTCTTTGAGCTCCCATTCCAGGGACCTGAACCCTTCTCCATGTTTGGCCCTCTTTACCATTCCCTTGAAGGTCCAGCTGTCGATGATTCGTCTGGCAACGCTGCGACGAGTTCCCACTCCTCCTATTTCAAAGAGACCTCCCACCCCGAGTGTGGGCTCAAAAGATCTTTGCTTCAGCTCTGATGTGACCATTTGAGGGCCTATGAGAGACTGAGGTCCAAACTGTTCTGTTACCTGAACCGCGTAATCCGAGTTAAGCGACGTTCGAACGTGCTTCTGACACGGTCTTCCCCCATACTCAGCTCCAAAAGCGTCTTGCTCAGCCAGAGTGACGAGAACTCTGGCGTCGCGCAAAGTGTGCCCCGGCGGCTGCTTAATTGAGATGTCGAGGTAGACGATACCGGCAGGGTTCCTGGTAGAACCGAGGACGCCCCATTGGGCCCTTTTCCAGTGATATTTGCACTCGATTTGGACTTTGCCAATTGCGCCGTTTCCCACACAGAGATAAGATCCACGAGCAGCGTCTTGGTCAAAACGTTCATAGTCTTTTCGACCGTATCGGCGGATGTGGAGTTCTGGGCGAAGAGCTTGCTGTTCTGTAGCAGGTTGACGTGCAAACACTGTACTAACGGGGGCGGCCATGGTTCGCTGAGAAATCAATCCGTCCTGACCATGATGAAGAGGAATAAACAGCAGCCTGATTATGTGTTGGAGGACAGGATCGCATGAAAAATAGTAAGAACAGACTGAGGGCTGCCTCCTGCAGGCTATCAAGAAATGAACAAAATGAACAGTTTGGGAACCCCTCAATGTCGTGCATACATGATGGATGGTCGCGTCTGCGCCTGATGCGCATATCTGCAGGCGCCTATCCTTGGGAACAGCGAGATTCGTCCAAGTTGTCTCGGGAGAAGCATGTTGAAGCACGTTAATCTGGTTTCATTGGCCTCTTCTCGTTGTCTGTTAGCTATCCGTGGTGGCTGGGTAATTGGCTGCAGGCCAGGCCATGCAAGCTTACGGCGTAGTTGGCGCAGACATTGATCGAGCTCCATGTCCCTTTGGTCCGCCAGCTGCCCCTCACAATGGCTCCTCAGCTTGCTTCATCTTTTGAATGTCCCGTTCATCCCGACTGTTGGTTGATAGCTTCAGAAACTACCCAGGCAATACCTTCTTACCTTTCTATGAGCTATGTCGTTTCGTCCAGAGTACGACATATTTGAAAGAGGGGGACCTTCCACATCCGCAAATCCTTTAGGCAGAGCCGAGACAGGTAATAGAAGAACGGCGGTTCACAAAGCCAAAGCGCCAGGGCAGCGACCAGATCTGTCATTTCTCGACAGAGATACGGAGAGCGATGCTACCAAGGCCCTTCAACACAGACTTGCATGGCGGTTCGGTATGCTGCCTTTTGTGCCCGCAGCACCACAGACGCCGCAGGATCAAGAGAGGCCAGAGTACCATGCTAAAGCAAAAGCCGAATACATGAAGCAGCGCCAAAGAGAACCATCCCCTCCCGCAGCATCCCTGCCCATCAATGAAGAAGCTCCTTCCAATTCCAAAGGGAAAGAACGGATGAGAGAAGACCAAACGAGTGAAGAGCGAGTCCGGGAATGGCAATCGAAAAGTGCAAGTGCGGGCGAAAACGATAGTCGGAGAGCTCAGAACGGTCGATCCGCCGAGTCGAGCATGGTGTCTGGGCCATCATTGGACTCCAATTACGACGGAGATTCGAGTGATGTTGCTACATCCCCTACATTCCCTAGCTTTGCGAAATGGCCTCGAACTGCCCCATCCTACAAGGTGCCAAGACCTTTCGCTCCCCAAAACCCTCGTGCTGTTAGACAGCGTTCGAGTCTCAATAGACGGAGACCCTGGCGACATCAATCATTCCCAGAGCCTACATATGGAGAACGTGGTGGACCTGCGATGGCCGAAGCCCCGTTTAACATCCCGACGTCTACATTTTATCATTTACCTCAACATCCTGAGGCTGAAAATCCGTTCAAGTCTTATGGAATCTCAGAGGCTACGAACGATCGATTACCTGAACAGACCAAGGCTAAAGATCAGCCTAAGGTCAATGTCGACCCCCAAAACCCTCAGGATATCACAATTCATACAGAGCTTGCTGCGACTATTGACCTGGAAGAGGAGCTAGAAGGGTATTCAAGACTTGTGAGACTCGGGCGTTTCAAGGCTGCTCAGAAATTCTTCGCCAAAAAGCTCTTGGGTTTCATCGAAAACTCTTACGTTCTGGACCACTATTGCGAGGGTCTTTCCGCAATGCCGGATTTTCATAAACTCTCCCAAATTGGGGAAACCTTTATCCCAGCACCTCAATGTGGAGTTGTTCAAGCTCATACTTATATGCTGCTGTCTAAGGCTGATTTCGTTGGGGGAGTCAGTATGTTATCCCAGGCGGCATACAGGCAACCGCCAAATTGGGAGAATTGTATGAAGACAGTATGGGAACACTGGCCCAATTTAGACTCTACAGAGGCAAGTACCTAAAAACGTCAATTCGTGAACGGAAGACAAGATAATTATGTCAGCTGACACCAAGAAGATTCAGATGCTAGCTGGCGGGCTTTCCCCGAAGGAGAATATCGCAAAGTTCCGCTCCAATGAGATTGCCGAAGTATACTTACACCTAAGAGCAGAAGGCAGAATTTGGGAGTTTGGGGACTTGCTCCAAGCACTCCTACGGGGATCGCGAGAACCCGTTTGCCGAGTATTGGAAGTCTTGCTTTATTGCGATCTTGGCGACGGTAAAGACCCTTTGATAAAGCTAACCGAAGCTATCGAAGAGGATTGGAGCGTGGCCGAGACAAACGAGGAGACCTCATTTGCTCTACTGGAAATATTCACAACTATAGTTTTGGATTCGATGTGCCACTCAGAGGATATTGGACTGGTCAATACGATATTCGAATTTTCCCGGAAGAAGGCACTGGATGTTCTTGAATTCAACCCAACCAACTCAAAGTCTCGACCATATCTTCGGTGGATCATATCGAAAGTCTTGCTTGAGCAGTACAGCAACCCACGTATCACCGGCTTCTTTTCACTCAAGCAGTGTCTCCACAACCTTCCTGGACACCGAATTGCTCCAAATCTGTCTGACCTTCCAAAACTATGTATGATTTCGTATGCACCAGACGAAGATGAAGCCCCAAGGTGGAGTCCTGATCCAACTACTACGATTGGACATGATGAGGCCCTTCGAACGGTGCTTAGCGTGGCAGAAGAGCTAGGGGATGTTTGGCTGCAGGCGACTTGTCTTCAGCTGTTGATTTACCAAAGCCCAGAGCCGAGAACTCTGCTTCGCAGCCTAGATGATTTGTGGCGCGCGGCAGGAACACACCAGAGACATCTCGAAACTCGTCTGTATTGTTACATACCTGAAGCTTTGAGGAGTGCCGAAGACCGCGCTGGCCTCCAGAGACAGATCCTCCTGTCTGCCAAAGCTTCATCTCAAGGGTTGAAGCCTTACGCAGAATACATGATCCTCAGAGCGTTGACACCTAGACTTGAGGAGAAGGACTCCTATCTCGAAAGAGCGATGGATGCCTTGAACTCATCATTCCAGGGCTATGTACCCCAAAGTCACAATCAAACTCCAACTGAGAATCCATCGACGCGAAAGACTACAGGTCATGATTGGACAAATGGGAACGTCTCGGCGCCTCCAGGCGGGCCATGGCAAAATCTTCCACCTGAGTCATCTGGAGGAGCGAATTATGTCGGCGCACAATATCCACACATGGGATACGCACCGGCACACGGATACACGTATGCAGCAGACATACATCCATTCCAAGAAATGAGAACGACGGCAAACCCAGGTTACATGGGTAATTCAGCAAATGCTCCTTATGTAACCTCAAAAGACAGATTTGGGTGGACAGGAGGAGCACAAAGTGGCCCTTTCAGTCAATATCAGACGAATTTTGGAACTCCCTACGCACAGAATCAGTTCCCTCATTATCAGCCACCACCACCTCCTCCTCCTTCTCCTCCTCCGACTAAACCTTCAGCTCCTGGCCCAAACTTCAACCGGGGACGACAACATGCCTGTCGGCCAGGTGCGAAAACAAAACTGAACAATAGTGGCTCACCCGATCAGGCAAATAATCAGGCTGGCAGTGACAATCGCAAGCAGAATGAACCTGCCGACACTTCGTCATCGGACCAGAGTGACATTTTGGAAGTCTCAGATGTAACTTCTGAGTTGTATCTCAATAGGCATTAGGATCTGTGAAGAGCTCAGAAAGAGATAAACCTAAGACGAAGACTACGAAGATTTACACGCACACATGACACAGGGGTTTCAAGGGAAAAAGTCTGCTGAGCGCCCGAAATAGAGGGTTCATGATAGCTATATGCGAAGTTCAGTCACTGACTCACGCGTGAAGCTTTGTGTGAATGATGTGATCGCGACTGCTGCAGGGATCAAGTCAGGCCTTTCAGTGACGCCTGCATACAACATGTGCTCCGACATCGAGTACCACAATCCCCTTTACAAAGTCATAACTACTTTAAGCAACTAAACAAGCCACTCAATTTAGGTACCTTGACCATATTCAAGTCTCAAACCCCCCCGAATCAGCTGTGCTTCTGTGATAGATCTTGCCACCGCGTTCTATAACTTCGAATGACTGACTCGAATTAGTGGAATCAGTTTCCACAAACAACTCTTTCCTTTCGCCAAGGATATCTCGTAGCCAGAAGAGCTCGTACATGAGGATGAATCTGCTGACCATCGCTGATGCCATGTAGCGAGCCATGATCTTCAGACTATCCGTTGCGGATATGAAAACAAGACTAGAAAATAACATACTTCCGTAGATCAGATGACATGTACCTAACAGAGACGTGAAATATGACAAGGCCATTGAAAAATATGTTTCATCCTCATCAATGACTGCTTTAGTCCAATCCTCCTTATCTAGAGGTTTGAATTGTCGCGAAAGCACTTCCCCGATGTACTCACGCCGAGTACCCCTGGTGATCCGTGTTCGAGCCCACAAGCTAGCAGCTGCGGAGACATGGGAACTGATACCGATGATACTCCAAAGGAACTCCAAATAAGTCAGCTGGGGGGCGAGCATACTGACAACCATCACGCCCAGCTGGTTGCAAAGTGTGTAGGTGTTGATGATGGCCGCAATTGCAGCAAGGAATTCGATAGCGAGAGTAACCGTCCTAAGCGGTACGGATGAACGTTCAGTGCGTAAACGGTAGTGCCGGGGCTTGACCAGCTTCATCGGATTCATGTACTCGAACGATCGGACGGGATGGATGGCAGGCGATCCAGCAGCCACAAGTAGGGCGATGAGCGGTCTCTGTCCGATGACGCAGAGCGTCGAGGTTTCTTCCACGCTGTTACCGACTGTGGCGAGGATCGTTGGCATGAGTCCGAGGACGACTGCGGCAGCTGCCATGTTGCTCATGATATACTCAGAAGTGTTGCCCAGAATACAGTTTGCTACGGGCTGAGCCAGCCTGTTCGTATTGCCGCCACCGGTAAACCAGTCGATGGTGGCATTTTCTCTCGGAATCGTCAAGTATCTTTCGTACTCGGCGGAGCAGTTGCCCTCGATGATCGCTTCGAAGGTAGGCCCGAACTCAGGATACCAGCTTTTGAATTGGTCTTTGGCAACATATACTGCGAGACATGGCCAGCAGAGAAGGGTCACAAATACCCAGGAAAGAAAGAACCGGGGCATCTTCAACAGCGAGAGAAGCGGTGCAGCACTTGCGATAGAGCCGGAAATCAGGAATTGTTAAAGATTTGACTAGAAGCTGGACAGTTATGGCATGATATTGATAGTAAGAGAAGGAATGTTTCGGAACCTCATGAAATTTAGAACATACCGAGACTTTTACTTCTCACATAAGATACTGCAGCCTTGGGCAACAAAACAAAAGTAAGTAGTGCCCCCTTGGGCTTTGGAAGAGAAACCTAGCAACACCAATGTTGGAAAGGCGAAAAATCCTGTTCGCAACAACCTCTAGATGGACCATACAAACAACGCAGGACACAGAGCTGGACGAGGATGACATCCTTTGAGCCACCTTCTTTTCCAGGAAGCACCCGGGAGATAGGTTAGAAAGCGGCATTCTTCCGACAAGTAAGCAGCCTCGGGAGGCGAGAGCCTTCACACCTGAGAGTCAAGTGGTGTTCTCGTATGTATACTTCCCTGTGGGCATGCCATTCCACCATCATCCAGTGGTACCAAGACATGTACTCGGAGTTGCGAAGGCTACACGACTGAAGCCACATTCAGCACGGCTGATTACTGGAGTGATTGGAACCGATCAAACTCATCGAGGGCGGTAATAAGGATCTAAAAGGGTTTGCGAGAGAGCGAGGCCGGGGTCTTATGGCACTACAGGTAAATATAGCAGGAAGTTCCAAGCTGAAGGGCTGGGTCGTCAAATATGTTGACCATGTAATTATGTAAAGGCAGAGTCGAAACTGACTCGTCCTGTATTCGGTGGAGTAAAATTGTGAGAGGTCGTCTTGATTGAACTTATGCATGTCAATTGGTATTGCAAGTCAATTTCTGCATAGAATTGTGACCGAGACCCTGCTGTCTAACTTCCAGTGGGATTAAGTTGTGCATTCCAAAGGGAGGGTTTTCGGACCATTTGGGCAGATAAATCTGTCTTAAATCCAGCCGGGGCAAGCACCCACTCCACCTGCCGAGACCTTTACGGATTAATATCCAATGGATTACTCAGCTCGGTCTCGGTACGAAGGGCTACCCTGCAACTTGCCGGATATCCATACTGTGGCTTCAGGCTCGCGCTTTTTAAGAACCAGCCAGACACACTTAGACTTTGCACCTATTTACGACTGTTCCATAATCCCTCAGCAATTCTCAATTCGCCTTTCGCACAATTCGATACAAGCCACCGGGATGTTCATGAAACTTCCATATTCCAGGCGTGCAACCTTCCAACACAGACGATTCGAAACCGGCGGCTTCTGAGAAACAGCGTGATTAAACGGTAGCTTTGAGCCGTAGCCGTGCTCACACGTAGACCTCGAAGAAGGCGGTCTAAGTCTCACAGCAACATCTACGGTGTTCGGCTTCCTTTTCTTACCCTCGTCTCCTCAGTCCTACAGCCTCATACCAAGCCGGAATGCCTTTTCCGTTGCCATCCATATCCTACCCACCCTCCAGGGACGGGTTCTGGAATCCTGTCACAGCAACCATCAACTGGTGCGAAGAGGTAGGCTTGTTGCGCAATATCCCAAGAAGATCTATGAACACTTCTACCATCTGTTCGAACTCCACTGACTCTGATTCATCTTCCTAGGACTACTATGTCACATCGTACGTGGCTGAGTTTGTCAACACTTTCACAAATGCGATATTTGTCTATCTGGCATTAGTTGGAATTTCCAGCTGCATTAGGAACAACCATCCTCGAGTGTTCTTGGTGGCATATGTTGGGTACATGACCATCGGTATCGCAAGCGTGGTTTACCATACCTCTTTGAAATGTTCGTTGCCTCTGGAATCCTTGATCATGCTGTGCTACATTACTAACACTCGAAAAAAGACTGGATGCAGCTTTTCGATGAACTGTCCATGATATACACCACATGCATCCTCTTCTATGCGGTATTTTCTCACGGGAAATCCTTGTTTGGCCAGGCTCTTCTAGGCGCCTTTATCACCGGCTTAGCCATTTTCATCACCGTGTACTACCACTATCTCGGGGATCCCGTCTTCCATCAAGTCATGTTCGGGATACTCACAGCCACTGTCGTGTTTCGAAGCATGTACATCATGGAGAAGATACTCCGGCCCAAGTCCACGCCTCAAAGCAAGGCTGAGCTTCTCGACACGCAACTCCTCAATAAGATGTGGACGCTGATCACTTGCGGTCTTGTCTCTATAGCCATTGGATTTCTGGCTTGGAACCTCGACAACATCTTCTGTTCACATCTCCGACAATGGAGAAGGGAGCTTGGATTACCTTGGGGCGTTCTTCTCGAGGGCCATGGGTGGTGGTGAGTGTCAATTAACATTGGTGCCAGAAAGAAGCTAACAGCTGGCTTAGGCACCTATTTACCGGTATTGCATGCTATATCAACGTGACTTACGGTGTCTGGCTACGCTATTGCAGAGACGGAAAGAAGGAAGAAGTCGTATTGGCGTGGCCATCGATGTTGGGTTCCATTCCCACTGTTGAGCGAGCGCAACATGGAGGACATCCATCGAAGCCCGTCTCTAAAACCGAGTAATCTTCAGTGCAACAACCGCTAGAACGAGGCTGTTCAATACCAAGAACTGTGCCGGATAAGCGGAACAGTGATGGCGGCGAAAGCTTTGGTTGTGTGTCACAGTATTTGAATGTTACCCACGGTCTCGCTCCAAAGAAAGGAGGGCCGAAAGGTGCCAATGAGGATGTGTAGGACAACGAAGCGGCTGAGGAATATTATCTGCTGTGGCACCGCTTGGCTGTCAAATCGCAGACATGTAAGATGGAACTGTGCGGTCACATCTTCCCGCCAAGTCAATAGAAGATGAAGGACGACAACAGGGAGCCACTCAAAACACACCGAGGCTTGGTCGCTACATGGCTGTTTAGGTGGGTGTGAGAAGCAGGCTACCAATCATGCTCTGGACTGGGAAACCGGTGTGAGGTGGATGCGACTGCATCCAGCAGACATCTCCAACAAAGGAATACACTTCGTTTCTCGTCGCGGCGCATTGGTCTCGTTTCACGCCACTATACACGTGACCATCCACTGGACCTCATCCTCTTCTTTTTTTCTCAAAGGTACTTATTTTCCCTAATAAGGAACCGCGCTTTACTTCAACAACGGCCAGAAATGAACAGAGCGTGAACAAATCTCTGTCACTGAGATGAGCCATCCTGACCAATAAGCTGCGTCGCCGATGCGCGCACCAGGCCTGCCAAGTGTTGTACAGACTCGAACCAACTGTCCAACACCAAAACGCTTGACTACTTGAACCAATCACTCACTGCCCGGTAGCATGCAGCTGAGCATTGTTCACGGTGCTTCAATGGGCGCTTCTCAAGACGGAGGGAGGGCGGTATCGAACGCTTCGCTTTTCGGGCAGGTCCTAATCAATATCTTCATGCGTGCGGTTACACAGCATCAGGCTGCCAAACCAGTGATCTGCCCCTGCGGGCCGAAGAATTTTCGGAAAACTCGACCATCTGGTCTTTGTTTTCTCTCAGATGGAAGCAGTGCCTCAACCTGGATTCACAAAGTTTCCTCTGCAGTATCTCATTATACTGCTACGGAAGCTGTTGAGCGACGATCGAGTGCTCCACGCTGTCAGTACACACCCGAACATTCTTTCCACGTCCAAGGTCGACTCGGAAGCTCTGTGCGGCCAGTACCCCAAGTCGCATAAGGTCTGCCGTAGGCATGGCCCGCCCATGGTTTTTTGCATGTCGCTGGCGCAATATCTTGGCTTTACTATCAGGTGTTTTCATTTCCACTGCAACATCCATCCCAGAGGGTACCAATGCGCATGGCTTCTCGTTCATATCTCGCGATGTCGGAAAAGCAGTGCCAGATTATGTGATTCATCATGGTAGGAGAACATCTCAACTACCCTCGCTTGCCTCGAAAGATTTCCACAGATCAAATTTGGCAAAATATTACTGATCTGCTCTCATACTAGCGCCACTGATATGGCTACACTCAGACGACCCATTTCGCCCAGCAGATATACTCGAACATGTCCGCCATACTACGCCGATGGTGCATATGGAGCCCATAAGGGGACTGCCACAACTTGATCTCGACAATTTGGCAATGCTGAACGATTATTGGAACAACGGTCCAGTTTCGCTGACTGCGAACGGCGACATCACCAGCCTTCCCACTTGGCTCTTTGGAGAGACGCCAGACGAGTCGGGGAAGCTCCCAAATGCCACCTCTTGTGTTGTCATCACAGTCGACAGGGGCTCAGGAGATCTGGATGCCTTTTACTTCTACTTCTACTCGTACGATCAAGGAGCAAACATCACACAAGTTCTACCACCTATGAATGGATTGATAGAAGACACAGAGCATGGGATGCACTTTGGTGATCATGTTGGTGACTGGTCAGCTTCGGGTTGAGATCCGTATCAACGAGATTGTGTTTACTGACCTTTCGTTGGTCAGGGAGCACAATATGATTCGATTTCACCACGGGAAACCTACCGGTATCTACTATAGTCAACACTCTTCAGGCTCTGCCTACAGTTGGGATGATAAGGGTTTATCCGTGGAAAATGGCCGGGTATTGAATGCCCCTGATTCTTTGACCGACTTCGACCACGCAGCTAATGTTGTCTTAGCCCATCGTTTACAGCGCATGGGGTTCTCACGCAAACTGGGCATCTCCCGGGTGAGTGCGCTATACTGTCCCGTGGATAATGTGTAATTAACAGCATTCGACCAGCGATCATGTTCACGACTCGGTCTTGCTAGACTACTGTGACGCAGGTCAAATATGGGATCCCGTGTCCTCAGCATATTACTACAAATTCGAGCCCGAAACATCGCGGCTGACGAGCATTTTCCCTCCCGGCATAGAAGCTTCCACCAACCTCACATCCTTCTTGTACTATTCCGGGATATGGGGAGACTTTCAATACCCCGACGACCACCCACGTCAGAAGATCGTACCCTACTTTGGTCTGAAGCGTTACGTCTCCGGCCCGACGGGTCCGACTACGAAGCAGCTTGTAAGGAAGGGACTCTTTCCTGACCACCCTGAAAGAAAGAATCTTTTGCAGTGGGGAGTTGGAATATTCATGTCGCTGTATCCATGCTGTTTTCGGGGATGGAGAGCCTGGATTTCTGGCATCGCCTTCATTGGGTTGTTGGTGTGCATGGTTCTTGGGATTAAACGCTCTTTGAAGTGGGCTAGGGCGCGGAAAGAGGGGTATAAAAAGATCGGCAACGAGGAGAGCATACCGTTGCGAGAACTGGACTACCTAGATGACAGAACCTCGAACCACCAGGATTGAGGGAAAGGGTTTAGAGCGCCTTCGCCGTAAACCGAATCTCTGAGGACATGCTGACGAAATCAGGCGAAAGTAGTAATCAGCTCTGAGGATGTATGGCCTTATTATTTTGTAATACAATTAGACCGAGTCTGTAGTACATATGGGCAAAACATAGAGCTGCGTCTTTTCTTCTCTATCATCAGGTTTTGAGTCTCTCGAGGTCTGATACTTCCTTGCGCCCCTAGGCTTTCTCATGCTAGCTTCTGCTTCCTCTTGCGATTCGGCGAATGGTGCTACAGTCGCCTGCTGATATATATAGAAGAATGCTGAGCAAAAATCATGGATTCCAAGGTAGGAAGTCTTACAAGTCTGGGAAGCTCACATCTTCGATATCGGGTCTCGATTCGAGTATCAAGACTCTGGTCGGTCTTTTGGGCCTTGAAAATATGTAGGGTAGTCCACAGCTGCCTAAGCATACGGGCCGAGTCTGTAGGTGAGTAAAGTAGATAAATGCTTGAAGCATCTATTAATCTGAAAGATGGATTTCATGAGCCTGTAGGCAACGTCGCCTCGTCGACGAGCCACGATGCCAAGCATGCGGTCTTGAAGCTTAACAGCCCGGGACTCATCACTTCAGTCAAGGCTCACGTCTTTGAAGGCCATTTTATTTGATCTGAAACGTTCACTACGGACATCTTGGACAATCTTCTCATCAACGCTCATGGTCCAAGCTGGCATACTAGAGCCATGTGGCGCACGACTAAGACCCTACGCAGTTAGTGAGAAGGTCCAGCCCGTCTAGGCGGTGCGCCTAAACTTGTGTTGAGGCTGCAAGACACCGTCAGCGTCTAGCCCACGTCGGGATAAGCGCCATTCCCGCCCCCAAGGGATTGAGCTACCGGCTCCCAAGGGGGGGAATCCGAGGAAGGAGAGGAGAAGAATGATTACAATCACAGAGCCTCCCTTCGACTTCAACTCGTAATGATCTCACAGTCTGTGCACTCAAACAACAAACAACATCCCATCGGCGAGCGAACACGACTCAAGCAGAGCTTCCCCGGGATATCGAACTCGAGAAAGCGAGCCTATTGCATACTAGACCACTGTCCGATACGGAAACAAGATGTCCGTATCAGCTTATCTCGCAGCTTTCGGCAAGGCATCGCCAGCGACGTACGCCCTCGGCACCGGACTTCTCGTCACATCATCACTTTTCTTTGGGAATATCGGGCTGTCTCTCACTGGGCCTCTTCCCATCATCAGGGATCAGCTTGGCGCGTGCACTTTGAGCTCAAAGCAGAAGATCAAAGTATGGAGGCTATTCTTCGACGAAGCGTCTGTGAGTGAACCCCTGCCTCATCATCAGCGACCATCTCGCATAAATGAGAGAAATGTCTGCCGTGATGAGATCCCTGATAAGTACTGACGCCTTGCGCCAGAGATACATCATCGGCGGCACCGGCGTGACAGCGACGCTTCACCTGGCCGCCTTCGCACTGGGAGAATCGCCCGTATCCCGCAGGCTCGCCGTCATGTCGGCGCTCTGCAGCATCTGTATCCTGCCGTATACTCTCATCGTCATCATGCCCACCAACAACAGCCTCATCGCCCTGGACGACAAGGTGGCCCTATCGGAACTGGACAGGAAAAAGGTCGGCTGGCTGATTGAGAAGTGGGACCGGCTGCACAAGGTCCGCTTCCTGATGTACGGATGTGCGTGGGCTTTGGGTCTTGCTGCGTTTACGTCTTCTTTGTGAGCTAGATCGTTGGAAGGAGTGATTAAGGGTAAACGGTTGATCGAGGCGTTTTCTTTTGTCTTCCTTTCTCTAAATGAGTTTTGGGTTTGATGATCTGCAATGGCTCAACATAATGTTCCGAATGTAATGTTAAATTGGATATGAGTAAACACAACGAGCCTGATAAATACCGTCTGATTAGGACGAGCCATATCGCCCGCAAGACCAGAGTGAGGCTGAAGGATCGGTCGGCTATGGCTTATACAGACGGAAAAGCGTGACCAGGAACCCTGACGACTGCTGTTGACATGGCTCAATACCCGAATTCATGACAAATTCAGAGTCCAATCGTGGTTACTTAAGCTTGATAATAAGCAAAAACCCGTAGCCTATCAGGTACAAGATGCATGTGATGAAACGTCAAGGTCTCATGGCCAGAAAGCTTCCACGGAATATAGACCTGGTGTGACCTGCAACACGTGCTTCGTCTCTCTTGAAGGTTTTGGGGGAAGAAACCTTGCCCCGATTTCTGGAAAGAGTCCGAGTCCCGGACTCCGTGGAAAGTTTGGCGGCAACTGCACATCACCACTTTATGAGCCGATCGCCGTTGGCCGAACATACCGTGTAGATCCGACAGTTGTTTCCCCGGCATGTTGTGCCGTGATCCATATCCTAGTGATCTGACATTTGACAATCTGGTTTGAGGGAATTCCTGACTAGAAATATGCACCGATCGTTAGCAGCCTTATCCTAGTTTCGGGTGTCCGTATTTTAAAAGCTCTGGTGGCTTAGGACTCATCGATAGTTCTCTGGCAACATTTGGAAGTTTGTACGTTTGATGGCTATTATACGGGACTAAGACTAAGTATTCAACGTTGGACTGCACCAGTCGTTCACTTAAGACAAGACGAGATAGCTGTTGACTAAAAAGAAGATTTTCCTTCTGTGTGACAACCCTGATGCCATCATCCCCCTCCAATCCCGGAAGATGTGAGTCTATGTGGCCAATCCATGCGCCGCTGCCCAACTAAACTCCAAATAGACTTTACCAACCCATTTCTGAAAGCAGGAAAGCCCAGCGCTTATAGAGGCAGGCTCTACCTTTTCCCCCTCTCGTCTCAACTCTACGACAGTTCAGGGATCCTGGTGCCGAACATGCGGTTACCGACATCATGTCGGATATTCCCGTTGCTGTGGTCCAAGACAATGGTCCCCAAACTCTCTGTCATGGAAGTGTCATAGAACCGAGGGAGCGGAGCTCAGCCGTTGAAACGGCCCTGTTGTCAGGTCTCTCTAAGCCATTCGAGTGCCATCATCATTCGATGATTGAAATAAGAAAGAAAACGTCAAGAACTCTACAAGGCCAAAATCGCCACCGTGAATGTCGCGATGAGAACCGCGAGCCTGAGTCCAGCACCAGAGATACCCTCAGCAGCGGCGCTCTTGCCAGCACCAGGCAAGCCGGTGTTGTTCTGGCTCTGTCTGAACAGGGGATCCATTGTAGCATTCTTCGTGACAGGCACCTGGGAGCCCGCAACGCAGAACTGCGTTGGGTTGCTCCACGTGGCGTCGACGACGCGCTTCCACGCGTTCTCGGGCTTGAAGAGCATCTCGCGGCTGTAGAAGATGCGGCAGTTGGCCGGCTCCCAGAGGAACTGTAGCGGCGTCCGGGCGTCGGACATGCTGTAAGCGTTCTTTGCGTTGATGGCACCGGCGCTCTTGGGCGTAGTTGCGCGCTTGATAGCGTAGCCCTTTGCCAACTCGCCGAGCTCGCCGTTCATGATCTCTTCCTTCTTGTCCTTGGGGGTGAGGGCGATGATGGCCTTGGCGTCGGTGGTCATGTCGTTGAAGGCGAAGACCTGGGCGCCTTCGACACCAGCGATGGACTGCATAATGCCGGCTTGGGGACGGCCGCCGATGACGGTGGTCTTGATGCCCATTTGGAGGATCATGAGGTAGGAGAAGATCGTGCAGGTTGAACCGCAGGTACCATCGGTGAAAAGGACCACGTTCTCAGGGTCGAAGACGCGAGGGGGCGGATTGGCTTTGCTACCGACGCCGGTGAGATTGAAGGTGGGGTCGGTCTGGTTGAGTGGTGCCTGCTGGTACGCAGTGAAGGTGTCACCATTGAGCGAGACCGGTGCCAAGATCTGATCAACGGTTGTGAAGGCGGCTTCATCGGGTGTGTAGACGCCTCCAGGAAGCAGGTTGCTGACGATAGAACTGCCACCCAGAGCTTCAAGGGCATCCTTTTCCTCGGGCGTGGTAGGCGTGAAGTTGGCAGGGATGGCGGCGGAGAGACGAGCGAGAGTGGTGAGACCTTCAGACAGACGCAAGTTGTTGGCCTGGAAGCGGTTGACCTCAGGGAACAGCTATTATGAAGGTTAGCATGGAAAACATGGCGGTGGTATAGTGTGACAAACCTGAGCGAAGAGCTCGTAACCGGCAACGACGAAACCACCACCGTTGGCAGCGACATCAATAACGAGACGCTTCTTCCCGGCATCCTTACTCTTCTTCAAGAACGTGGCGACGGTGCTTTGGAAGTTGGTCAAGTACTCCGTAGCGTCAATGGAGTCGGGAGGAGCGAAAGACGAAACAGCAAGCACGGCAACATCTTCGTATCCCGTTCCGTTGAGGAAGTAGCCAGACGTGGTGTTGGCACCGCTATCACGGACAATCGGGAAGGGATATCCCTCGATTGTCGGCTTGGGAGGCGGCGGCGGACCCGAAGTCTTCGGCGGGGTCGGCATCGTCTGGTTAGGCTTCATACCAGGCTGCGACGGCTGGGGCTTAGCGGGCGTGTCGGGGTTGCAGAACTTGTTGTAGTAGTCCTCGCCGCTGTTGACGCCAGTGAAATTTGCGCCGGTGCGGATGAGGGCGAAGCTGTCCTCGGAGCGCTCTTCGCCATTGTCGTATGTGATTGTCACCTTGGGACCTTGGAAGGCGAGAGAGGCGGCGACAACGATGAAACTCTCCTTTGAGGCGTACGACTTGAAGTTGGCGTTCCATTGCGAGTCGGGGTCCTGGTAACCGCTGAACTTGAGGTTCAGGTCTGCGATCATGGTGGCGGCATCTCTGCCGTTGATTCTGACGATGGCGGGAGCAGTGGAGTTTCCATCAAGCTGCGCTGTTGAGGAATATCAGTGCCTGATCATAGGAACTGAAGAGGTAACCTTGGGACTCACCAAGATGGTACAACTTGGGCACCTCGACACCATCACGCGAGACCGACACAATATCAGCAGCGAGATTGTTGCGGAAGCTGAAGCCCTTGAACACATCACCGCGGAAGGCAAAGTGACCGTCGTGAGCCGAAGCAATCAGCTGGAAAACGGCAAGCTGGAACTCGTATTCGCTCTTGTACGAGCCGGCCTCTGCCTTCTTCTCAATCTCGTCCAGGCCGCCCTCGATATCGGTAGGAGGGAGCATGTACGACGCCGGCGGGTTCTTGAGCCATGACAGCGTCGACTGCCATTGGACGTAAGCCTTCAAACTCTTGATGAGATCCTTGGCTGGACCCTTCTTATTCGGCACTGTCTGGAGGCAGTCAAAGGCCAATTGAGCCGGGACTTGAGGGGTTGCTGTTGGTTGGGGTAGGCTTTGTTAGCGGATTTGATATTATGTTTGCTTTACACCATGACGTCCGACGCTTTCACAGAGGATCTTGGGGAATCTCTCGCGTTCCCCGCTGTAATAGTTGCTGTCTTCCTCCCCTAACATAGCATGCTCTTCCCGTAACGTACCTTTCGGGCTCGCCATAAGGAATTGTTGAACCTTAGGCTGAATCTGAGCACATGCCTGGGCATTGCCGCTAGGAACCGTTCCATTGGGGGCGCTGGGCGTTGTCGGCGTTCCGCTGCTCGTGGGAGTTGGCGTTTGTCCCGGGGCCTGGGGAGCCGGCGCCGCCAACACAACGGCGGCCGAGGCCAATGTCCACCAAGTGAATCTCATCTTGATCGTCGGCTTGCGAGGTCTCTTTTGTTTCCCTTTCTCTTCTCTGTACGACCTTCCTCGTCTACTTCGAACTTGTCACACCTCTTCAAAGAATAGAAAACAAACAGATAGCACAGCTATCGGCGAGGCCAGCTCAAAGTCTCGAGACCGAGACGGGCACTGAAAGGAAGGGAAATAATGGGGCTGGAAGCAATTCGCCGAAGCCTGAGAAAAGAGTCTCAAGAACAACCACGGCCGGCGGGATCGACGAGCATATGGGGTTTTAAGAGTTGCATTGTCCTCTTCCCTCCTTTGCCTTCTGGACCAGTTTCCGTGGTCGAAAGGTAACTCGCGAAATAGGCCGGGTCCCGCTCATTCGCTCTCGTTATTCCCTTGGCGGCGGGCGTTCTGTGTCTCTTGCGGCGCGCTGTTACCCCCCATGCCCACACACGTCCCAAGTTTGTGCTCCCAAATCATGAAGCCATCATGAAACACGACAACCCTCACATCTTCAGATAAGCATCCGCGCATCCTGGGGGGTCCCGACGCTGCAAGATTTAAACTCGGACATCATGCAAGGGCACCCCCCTCTACGACCCTCTTACTACTTGGGAATAGGCCAGATCTGTGCACCAAGGTAAATACAAAAGAGGCTTAGGGCAGGCCCCTCCCGAGGCTAGACAGGCAGAGTGCGGCGACTATTCAGAGGGTAAGAAAAGGGCCCCCGTTCTGTTGCTTGGCGGTTGGTTGGGTTGATGTTTCGGTGCAAATCGGGAGAAATCAGTCTCTGTCTGAAGTTCCAAGACAGGCCATCCTCGACAACACACACGATACAAGATATCGACGAGTGATACTCGCGCCGGCTATCTACCGGGCTGGGCGTCGGAGGCTTAAAGACTGAGCAGATCAACTGTGTTTTGTGCTGTGGCCTCTTTTCCGTGCCTTTCCTCCGTCTCTTCCATTCTTCCCGTACTCTTCCCCCCTCATCCCACCCTCCTTCATCCCGCCAGAGCCTCATTGTCCCTGTCCTGAGATACTCACATCACATCCGTATCAGCCCGGCCGCTTCCATCCCCAGCCGCCCG